TTTACAGTTGAAGGATTATAGCAGCCAGTTGCTGAGAGTTCAGATTTAATGATGGACTTGTATAAATGTCACTATTTTTCATGATTTGCTTAAAGCCAACTCTTAACCCAAGATCATACAAGGGAAGCTTATATTTTATGTGACTAAGCAGCAGGAAGGATTCTGCAAACTCTATTATTAGTAATAAATCTATTTTAATTTAAAAGTATATCTGTTAGTATGTCTAACAACCTTGACACACATGTCTAAATCCAATATTATTTTTCAGGAGAGAGATTTATCACACTACAGTTTTGTTCCCAGATTTCCACGTATTTGAAATTGGTTCTGCTGGCTGCCGCCACTGCAGACGTTTCCAACAGTCACGCAGCAGGGCTGTTTCCAAGAAGCAGAAGTGAAGAGTGGGTTCAGTTGCAGTACGTGGTTTCAGTAACTAATTCAGGGAGTTTGTGACTCCCAATCTGAGTGTGCAGAAGATTCTTGTGAAGATAGAGATGCAGTGTGTTATAGAGCACTGTATTCTTGCAAGCTCTTCGGATTGCTCCTGATATTGTTAATGGGGAGTTACACTCTGCCTTCAGATACACAAATCTGAAGCAGAATCTCACACTGCTTTTGACAGTATGTGCATACATTTAAAGTAAATATTAGTCTTTGTATTTTCCTGGGCTTCAGCTCTGACTCAATAGGATCCTGATCTGTCAGTGCTGGAGTTGAGAGTATTATATAGTTCTCATACTACCACTCTACCCAGAGGACCTATCTGAAATTGTCACCTTCTTGCTCATCATCTCTGTTGTGTCTGTAATCCTGTAATTACAGGTCAGGACTGCTTCCTTCCAGGGCAGAGATAAGTTTCTGTGGCTGCTTATTCCCTATAGCTTTTCACAGCCACTTTTACTCTGAGAGGGAAATGGATTCTGTCCATCTCCACCTATCATTAACATTGCTCTCCTGCCTTTCACTGCCATTTTCTCTTCACTGATGATGTCAGAACTGTTTAAGTTGCTATTTTGAATTTCAAATCCCACTTGAACTTGTCAGAAGAGCAAAATCAATGGGATTTTGAAAACCTGTCCCCTGTGTAATACTGAAAAAACCCAACTGTAAGCACTGCTGGGATAGTATTTGTTATGGGTATTATTTTCCACATCAGTTCAAGTTTGGAAGTGTTACAGAGAAGTTTTTTATCACCTTCATCTTTGGCCTGTGAAAGGAGCAGTGCCTATTTCCAGCTCTTATTTGAATCATAAAACCTCTTCAGAAGTTTGGAGATGAGGGCAGATTTTCAGCTTTCTCAGAAATAAAAGTTTATCTGAATTATTTTGAATTATCAAGAACAAACTTTACTTTCCCTGCAAGTTATTTCTGGTGCAGGATTCTTTGCACTTGTAGCTGTGCTTGACCTAATGAAAATTTTCATTAGGTCTAGTCCATAATACTTTAGTCAGTTCAGTGCTTTAGAGTTTGCCTTTTTTTTGGTGGAAGGGGGTGAGGAGGGGCTCCATAATCAGTCTACATTCAAAATATAGATCATAAAAGAGGAAGCTGAAGTCTGGTTTGCATTGTTAGGAGTCACAAAATACCACAAAGTTTCTCTTTAACAGCAGATGAGAGATTAGTGTATGCCGGTGCTGGGCTGTGTTTCATTTCATACCGTGTTTCTCGGAGAGCAGTGTTATTCTGTTATCATCCCTAATGACTGCAATGTGATGAGTCACAGTGTTGGTTTTTACAGGATTTCACTTTTTTCTTTTTTTTTCCATTTTTGTTCTCAAGGTTACATTATGCAAAATACAATGGCATATTTTGTGCACTAGTCCAGGCTGTATAAAAATAGTTTTAATCCTTTAATGAAAATTGGAATAGCTCTGCTCTGGGGAAGGGGCTTTCGGCCTGTTTCAAGTATTCGTAATTGCTATAATGAACTGCTGTTTCTTTCTGTGTCTGAAGAGCTATAGGTCATGTGGCTTGACTTTAAAATAGTCTGAGTTGGTCATTCTTGCATGCTCTTGCATTGGTAATTTGGTTTAGCTATTCACCATGAATTGCAAACCACTAAGAATTACCAAAAGGTAGTTTAGTTGTTTAAATAATTTTGAAGATGAGAAAGAATTTTTGCTACTTTACCCTAAATATGAGAAAAGTCAGGATAAAAATGAGGGAGGTACAAAGACAGGAAAGGACAGACTCCTTATTTTAGGATGGATTTATTTACAATGGATTTGCATTATGGATAAGAATGAACAAGCGAGTTGAATTAAATGCATTATTCAAAACTGCTGGTTTGGCTTGATTAAAACTCTGCTCTACCAATCATTTTCATTACTGTGCCACTTCCCCCCCCACCCCTTACTTTCTGATGAGGTAAGGCACTCTGTCTTTTAATCGATAATGTTCCCTACAAAGCTTTTATCCTGAATGGCTGCAGCCTTTGGCCCCTTTTGGGTTATTTGCTGCACCCATTTTGAAGATATGTCAGAATTGTGAATGCTTAACTCCACCATCAATGTGAAAAGACACTTTGCTGAGGGATAGCACTGGAGTGGCTTTGTCTCTGTGTTGAATTGCCTCGTCTGATGGACTCTGGTAGGAAGAATGTGTTTAGTGCAGAGAAAGGTATTAGAAAACTTAGTAGTCAACCAGGTTAGTATTTACCACAATTCTTTGTGCACTTAAACCTTGGCTGCATATCTGCTCCTGCCTTTTCATCTGTGAAGTACTGAAATTCTTCTAAATTCATAATATACCCATAGATATGGAAATAATGAGGGTATTAAACAGAACAACAAACCTCCCCATCAAAAAACATGAGCTATGATTTTTTGCTGGTCTCACTCTGCCTTTCCTGATGTTTTCCCCATAATAATCAGTCTTGCATTGATACTGGAATAGGGCAATTGCTTTGATTTTCCTCCAGATATTAAAATAAGAAACTATATACGAACTGCCAAGAGATTTTTGTTGGTATGGTTTTTGTTTGGTTTTGTTTTTTCTTTTTTAACAATATATACTTCTGCTGCTTGCTCCATTTGCATTTGCTATCAACAAACATATATTCCTCAGCAGCCCGGTTTTGTTTAAAGCTGGAAGACTTCCATTGGGGGAGCCAAAGGATTCTTTTCCCTTGTTTTCTTTTGAAGCGTCTGTGGTGAACCCACACTGAAAACAAAGTATTTTCAATAGCAATTCTGTGGGTACCCATGTAGTGACTGAAGAAAGAACTTGGTACCAAAAAGTGTTCCTTTTCTGAGAGCCCAATACACATGAATGGTCAAAATGTGAAATCTTGTCCACAGTGACTAGGAAGAGGTAGGACTTTCTTAGTGTTTATAGGAGTAACTTGCCCCTACTTTATTTCTTTGAAGAAATTTACAGGGAATTTTTTCTAGAAATGAAGAAATGACAGTATAGCATTGCAAGATAGGGCACTAAGGATACTAATAAGACTGTGTAACTTCAGTGTTTCATAAATGTCTTGTGGAAGGGATTGCTGGAGTTTGTACTGAGTGAATGTTGAGCCTTTCTCATACAATTGTAGTTTTCTGCTACTAAGGAGCTCTTATTAGATATTTAAGGAGAAAGAACGAGGTCTGTCAAATGAAAGAGTTCTCTGTCTTGTCAGATGGAAGAATGTAATAGAAGTTTTTCAAACAGTTTTTGACAGTCTAAATATCACTATAAAAGGCCAGTAACCCTCATACAGGGGGACAGGATTTTGAGAAGAAAATTGTTGGTCGCCACCCAGTCTTTCATGAATACCCTGGAAAGATGTAGCTGCTGATGCTGTCAGGTCATGTGGTGTCTGCATATGCTGTAGGCACTCCATCTACCCGCTTGGGTCCCATTTTGGAGGTGCACCTTCACCATCTTGGGGTTTTGATTTGAGCTAAATCATTTGATCAAACCTTCACCTCGAAGAAAGCTTGTACAGTTGGATGTGGTGCAGTAGCCTCGTTTTTCTGCTGGTGTGGAAGTAGGTCCTCCAGATGCAGCTGGCCAGTCAGCTGTACTTAACACACAGAGGAAAATCCTTGTTTCTCTGAGGAGTCTGTATAAATCACCAGGCTCTAGCAGCTGTAGGAGAAGGGCTGGTAGACAGGGAGAGAAGAAAGGCTATAGAAGCCTCTGAGCTTGTGCGGTAAATCCACACCTGGCCCTGTGTAGAGTATGTGCAGGACATACTAGTTTGACTGTTGGTAGATTCCAAATTGTAATACTTTTTTAATTTACTATGGAGTTGCTTGGGAGTGGGAGGAGATTAAAAATTGGTTTTTTTCTACACATTAAGATGATGTGATGGGAACACAGTTAATAAAATGCTACTGAGAACTGTGCCTCAGTTCATATTCAGCGCAGGGTTGTCATTCTGTGAGGTATATCAGCAAAAGATTTGTTGATGGTACAGGTGTTTCAACATCTAAAAGACATGCCTGACACCTGTTAATTTTACTTGGCTTGGTGAAATCTGGAGGCACAGATATGGTCTAAATGTTTTTTTAAAGTGTTCTTGAAAATGTTTGCTTTTTAACATGAAGATAAAATTTCCTTTAGAAAGCAGTATTGAACAGAAGAAAGAATTAAGTTTCACAAAAGGATTAAGGTGTTAACCCAGGATATAAAATATGTCTTTGTTTTTCTTTAGATTTCCACTGCCACCTTTCATTGAGCCTGTCTTTTTTGGCTTTAAGTCCTCTGCCAGAAAATGAAATACTGCTGTCCTAATTCATGCTTCACTTTTTAGGATAGATTGGTTGATGATTATTAAAGCTTGCAGTACTGTGTAATGGTGTGTAAAGGGGAAGCTCTCTGCTCGCCCACCAGATTGGCATAACCTTGTTAGAGCAGCATTAGTTACAAGTAAGCAGCAGCCACAGTATTTCAGCAAAAATAGACAAGAGCGTGAGTTATGTAGAAATATATTTTCTTCTATCAACTGTGTGTAATCAAGGAAAGATTGGAACAAGACAAATTAACAAGCTCTTCTGTTTCCTTCCTAGAATTACAACAACAGCTGCTTGTATGATGGACCTACGGAGATATCCGCTGGATGAGCAGAACTGCACGCTAGAGATTGAAAGCTGTAAGTACTTTTGCAAATCCTCCTTATTCTGTGGTCAACTGCTTCAGAGTTTATTTCTGTCATCCTGTTTGGTTTTTTTTTTTCCCCCCTTTTTTACATGCTACTAACCTAGTTCTTTCTGATGACATTTAGATCCTTGTAAACACATGCAACAAAATAGCTTTCCAGATGGATTAGTAATTTGTGGCACAAGGATTAGCAAAAGTTGTTCTGTATTTTGATGGACAATTTTACAGCTTTAAAAGTCTCATTCAAATGCCTTGTTGGAGTTCATGTGAAGAGTACAAGGATTACTATTAGTTCTTTATCCTCTTTTACTGCTGAACTGTGTGGCAGCTTGTTTCCGTTTAAAAATGATGGTAAGAGGTTAGAACTGTTCTTGAAATAGGTGTGTTGTGGTTGGTTCATTTGTTTTTTTTCTAAACCCTGTGCTGTAGTTAATTTTTCAGTGCATGCAATGCAGTGTTATATAGGCTGATTTAATAGCTGGTGTCTCTGTACAACTTTCTGTGGTGAAATAAAATTTCAAATGTGAAATTTGTGAAATAAATTTCAAATCTCTTTTACCTGAAAAACTTTAGAGAATCTAAGTACATCTGAGAAAAAGCAATTCATTATGACTTTTTTGAAGACAGTTTGCTAAGCATGTATTACTTGGCGCTCTAATTAGGATTGTATCAGCACTTTCAAGATATAGTTCCTTTTTCAGGACAACCATAAGTAATTCAGCTAGGGTGTATTAAGTTGAATGTGGCAAGCAAAAGGGAAATTAATGGCATGTTTTAAGATCCAGAACACAAAAGTATGTGTATTTTTAAAGTAACTTCTGAATTATAAAAGATTATGTGGGATTTCAGTGTGCACTGAAGTACAAAATGACAGTAGCTTGCACTGGTAAGAACCTGGTACAGCTTAGCTTCTATTCTAGAAAGCATTTACAAATATGCTTTAAATTTGTGTCCAGGTTTCATTTTAGAGTAATTTAAAGATATGACAAAATCCTTTCCTGAATTAAACTTATGACACTGCTGTCTGAAATAATTTACATGCATAAAATAAGAAAAATAAGTCTTTATCATTGAAGTTCACCCCTTCTGTCTGCTGAAATACACGAGCAGCAAATGTGATGATGGACTTTGCTCTTTGGAGAATGGATAAAATCCTGGTTGTTTGTTTGTTAGGGGTTTTTCTGTTTGTTTGGTTTTGGGTTTTTTGTTTGTTTGTTCGGTTTTGGTTTTTTTGTTTGCTTGTTCATTCTTCCCCAGTTCATTTTTGAAATTCCATTGATAGCATTTGATTCAAATTTCTCACCTGCTGCCTTTTACCAGCGTAGTTGGCTCATTTTCGTGTGGGAGAATGCTACTGGCATAACTGTATTCAGGTTTACTGAGAATGTCGGCTTACTATGCTGATGTCTTTAAAGTGGTGTTGTTGCAAGGACCTGAATTTGTCTGTTTTCCAATTTTGTGTGTAAGATAGAAAGCTGAAGAGTCAGCTGGAGGACATCCTTTCTCTCTATTTACAGCATTGTTTAAACAGTCAATAAAGTCTTGTCATGTCTCTGCATTGTTGAGATGCCTGAATCTTCCTGGGATTCACAAAATAGATAACCCCTGCTTGTCATGCTTGCAGGACACAGTCTGGGAAATACTCCCAGGAAATACCTCCCAGGTCAGACCCTGTGCAAACCTGAAAAGTAAATTATGTCCCTGCTATTCAATGAGAACACTTTTTCTCCTTCAGGCTTAGAATGTGGGGACCTCTAGGCTGACATTTCCCTTTGATCTGATTTGAAGTAGAAATTTGAAGCCACATTAGTTACCTTTTATGAAATGATCCTGGAAAACAGGATATTGAGCTCTTGAAATTGTTGTTGCACTTGGCATGAAGAGCACAGTATTCAATTGTATCATAGAAAGAGTAGGAGTTTAATTTACCATAATGGTCTGGATGCTTGTAGGAGAGCTCCTTTATGGCTCTATTAGCTCTGTTGCAGCATCACAAATGTAAAATGGATTAAGATCAGGATACTGTATGTAGCTAGTCTGTCTTTCATTGCAGTAAGAAAGGCCATTAAAGAATATGGATAGAAGTGGTACTTGAACTGTGTTTTGAAACACTTTCATGATGCTTTAGAAAATTATTGCTATTTATATATGTCATTCTGTTCAGGTAAAAACCTGACTCTGTGTGGACTCTGTCTAAATGCTGATAGGTAGATACGCAGAGTGGATAAGATTGAAAAGTGACTTTAAGTTGTTCAATGCAGGTACTCCAGATACACTCACTTCTTTAAACTGGTTAAGCCGCATGCTAAAAGTAGGTTGGTTTCTTGCCCTGCTGATCTGGTTGGATGTCTGCTTCACCACTGCTCTCTTGTGGTGATTCGAAATTGTCTAAGTTCCACCCCAAATGTTTTCATGGCTTTGAAGGCATGAAATTATACTCACTGCTTGTGTCAACAATTTATTTTTTTTTAGTTCACTGTCTTCCCCAGCCCTGCTGGGATCCTCGTAGTACATTTAAAGAAAATGGTCATAGTTTCTCACAGGCTTTGTTTCATGGACATGAATATGCCAGTCTCTTTTAGCTTCCCCATACAAGAGTGTGTGAAGAGAAATGCAGAACTAGCTAATGTTAGTTCTTTGCTAAGAATAACTAGTATCATAAACAGTATCCCAGATGAAATCTTTATTAGACTGTGGCACTAATCTTGCCCTTTTTCCGAGAGCCCCACCTTTGCCTTTCTTCACAGCTACATAACTTTCACAGATGATAGTCTTTACTGGAATCGTACAGTAAGGCTTTTCTCTTCCTCACTCATTTTCCAGCAGTGGGTTCTAGCTTTTGGTAGAGTGGGTTTTTTTGCGCAGTACTAAGAACACATGGCTTGGCATTTTATAACACTGTTCTTAATTTTGCTACACTCCTCAAGGTTATCCAGTTCTTGCTATATTTGTTCTGATCATTCTTTGTCTTAACAGTGCCTGCAGATTTTGTTTCATTAGAAATTCCATTAACACACAAATAGTAAAGAATATTAATGCCAAGAAGGAAGAGCTTTGCTTATAATCATTCTCTGTATTAAGCATGATCTATTCTTTCAGTGCAGTGCAATTTCCTACACACTTTTTATATATCTTTACTAATTGTATGTTCTTGTACAGTCCTATAGCAAATGTTTTTAATAAAGTCCAGGTTAGATATACTTTGTTTAAAAAAGAAGTTATTGTCTAGCCAGATCCTTTGAGTTAAGTCATGATAGATTTTTATCCTATTTCCATACATGCTAATGTCTTTAATGTCCTTCTGTTCTTTCTCTGCTTCCTTCTGCCTTTCCACACACCCCTACCCCCATTGCTGATGCCAGAGTTGATTGCTGCCTTAGCTGTCTGGGTTACTTTTTTCCATGTGTCATTGTGTTTACTGAAGTTTTTGTTAATCTAGATTTGCATAAATCTAGATTGATTAATTTGAAAATTAGAAATTATGGTGGAAAACAGTTGTATTTAAAATACTAAAAATGAAATGGGGGAGGTGGTATCATCTATTAAGATACAAGAAACTGCCTTTTCCTATTTCAGTTTAAGGTAGTATTAGTGAGATCAGATGCTGAAAGTGTGAGAGGACTATTTCAAAAGGCATCAACTTTGAGAACTGAAATCCTATTTTTTTTCTTGTATAGCTAGTTACATCTCTGAGATCATTTTTTGCTTTGCTCATCCTTAAAGGGCAGAAATGTGTTAAATATTTGGTTTTGCTATGATGCTTCTAAACCTGTAGGCCATCTTTTCTAAGGGGGTCTAATCTGAGCTATTCTACTCCCTTTCTTCTCTTATTTCCCAACACACTGAATTGCAGGATTATAATACTGGAGGGAAATCAATTTTCCTATGTATTCATTTCTTACTTTCTCAACTTGCAGGCAACAGAGAGCTTTTTCCTTTTTAGCTGAATATTGACTTATTCAGTGAAGTACCTCTGCTTTCTTCTCCTTACCTCTGCCACTGCTGTTTCCTGCCTCTCTGGAATTGTAACTGTTGAAAGGAATGTCTTAGCTAATCAACCATGAGACTCGCAGGAGCTCAAAGGCATGAAGAAGAACAAGGGAGTTTGAAGAATACTTCAAACTCCTATAAGAAAATAACATATCATATTGCATATCCTCTAGCATAGCAGAGAGAAATGATTGTGGTTATATTGGATATTTTTAAATGTAATCATCCAAGATTTATCTGGTAGGTTTGGACCTTTGTCCATTTCAATTATGTGATGCCACATAAAGATAAAAATTTACTTCAGTTCCATCTTATTTCATAATGTGTTTGGCATAGTTACATTTGTGTTATACTGAGGTATATTTCAGAAACTGTCTGCCTTATGGCAGTGATGGGGTTTTCCCCCCTCCATTTCTTTGTTGCTGTGGAACAAACAAGAGTACACCAAGTTTCTTCTTAGAAGCATATTCTCAAAAACGTTTTCCATAGTGTATTAAAGATGTGGCATGGAAAAAAAAAAACAACTGTATTAAAGCCCTGCTGTCTGAAGCTTTAGCAAGCAAGGAGCTTGCTACTCAGATGTACTGTCCAGGGAAAAAGGGCACAATCAGAACAGCACACACAGACGGGAAGGAAGGACTGCTCTGCTGATGAATGAGAAATGATTGTTTTCAGAACATGTCATTTCTATAACTGCCTGGGGTGTTTGGATCAGAAATCATTAGATTTTTTTCTCTTTCATGATGGAAAGGCTGCAGAAGCACACTAAGATAAGTTAAAAACTTCCGTGAGATAACAGAATCTAGAAAGAGACAGAAAGAGCAGGTGCGAAAGTGTATCATTCCTCCCAGTGGCAGTGCAGCTCAGTATCAAATGCTTTCTAATCAGATCATCTGGAAGCTCATCAAGAGAAGCAGAAGTCATCTTTGTGTGCTCAAGGTGACTTTGCAAGCACATTTAAGGCAGTGAAAAGAAATCAAAGATGTCTTTTGCTGAAGCCTT